TGTATTCAAGTTGTAAGTTTGTTTGAAATAATATATATTACTTGAATGAGAATTATTGGCAGACTGATATTATGTTAACAGAAAGTTTAACGTTAAGTCTGAAACATGAAATTGCGTGACATAGGTTCTGGTATCAAGTTGAAATTTTTGCACTCCTCACTGACGAGGATGAATGATGTAAGATTTTGATCCTATAACTTCACTTATTAAAATGTTTAAATCGAAGTAACAATAGTGTGAGCCAGATATACTTGATAACATGGTACTTTGCATATTTAAAAAAAATGCAGCAACATTGTTTTACAGCAAAAATCCTATATGGCAAAGTTTTCTACGGCAAAAATTATTGAGGCAAGTTTTCCTATGGCAAAAATGTTTACAAAGAATGTTCCTAGAACCCCTTACAGTAACCACATCCATTCTAAACCTGTAGCACATAAATGCTATAAAGGTAAAAAAAAAAAAAATCAACCATGAAGATGAGAATAATCTGAAAATATAATTGAAAAATTGAATTAAATCTTTTCAGAAAAGGAATCTCAGTTATTTCCTTAAATTTGACACGAGAAGAGAATCATTATATACATTTCATCATAATGCTATTTACATATATTCTGAATATTACCTAGGTTTACGGTTATATCATGTCGAAACATGGGTTCCTTTATGATCATTGAAGTTAAGCAATGTTAAGCCTTGAATACCAGGTGCTGTAAGCTTGGATGTGAAGACAATGTTATGCATAGTGGCTCCGAATTTTTATTCGGAGAGCCAAGTTCCAATTCCAGTTGAGTTTGTTATATTCACTTAGCACAAATACCCTTGGGAAAGGTATGAATCCACCTTTTCTCTCTCCAGATATGGGTTAATTAGTAAAACATGTATCACTAAATGATGCAACCAGGTTTGCCCAATCTCACCTGTCTCAATCCCCTTTGAGCCATGAGAGAAGTGCTTCTGGCCAAGTGTGTGGGCTTCTCTGTCATGCAGGGTTGTCCACCAAAATAAAATTTATGCGAATAACCTCATCAAAGTTTCTTTGATTCACAGCCATCTCTGCCACTGCCACCATTAGTATCTCAAAAAAAAATTTTACTATCTAAAAAAATTTTTATGGCTTTAAATAACCTGATTGATAAGCTGTAAGAAACAAATTAATCAAATTACTATTCAAGGTCTTATTTTAAGTCTTACTCTTCTTTCACACAGATTTTTAGATTTCCTGTTTAGATTTCCTTTTTCCTATTTCCATATTATTTCTGTTGCTTTGCTGGTAATAAATTGTTCTACATTTTGGTATTCATTTATCCTTACTTTGAGACAATTTTATTTTTCTATGTAAATTATAACCAAATGAATTACTTACTACCCATAAGCTTAGATTTTTTTTTCTATCTCAAAATAATCAAAAAGTAATTTATTTGCTGGAAGCATTATCTTCATATCAATTTGCAAATTTTGAACTGGTCTTTCATCAGGAAATCAAAATAAAACATAGATACCAAAATTAGATTTGTTTTCTCATTCCTTCGATCTTTGGTAAATAGTATAAAGAAAAAAGTTTAGTTTTAATCTACTATGAATGGATACATTATTTAAGTCAAATTTGCCATGTAAAATTGATTCCTGCTGATACCACATATGATTGGTAGGCATTTGATAAAAAATTAGAGTAATGACATTATTCTCATCTTCCGATATAAAGGTGAGGAGGGTAGGCAAAAACAGGTTAGGGACAAAGTTTGGTATGATAATGATCTCTGAAAAAAAGAAAAAAAAAAAAATATATATATAGGGTGCTATGGATAAATTATCATCTAAATTATGCAAAAATGAAAATAACATTGACATCTCATTTTAACAGATATATTTACCAAAATCACACAAAAATATCTTGAAATACTAAAGAGTAAATTTAACCATGGCCTTCAGACAACTTTAGAATCTCCTGCAACTCTTCTGGATGTTCTTCTTGTTTAAATTGGTGAATGGTGCCATGATCCTTGCCTTCAGTTCATCTTTGGTGTTACACTCTGAAATGTTTGTATTGGATCTTCTGGCACAAATGCCAAGCAATACAGCATGCTGTTTCCAAATTTCAGGCAGAGCAAATTGCGTCATGCTGATCTTTTTCTCACAGATGGTGCCCAACTGACCCTACTATACTGTGCAGTCAACAAAATCAAAAACAAACAACATATATGCACAAAATTAAAAATATAAAATGGCAACAATTTACCTATCGCATCATATATATATACATGTACACACACACACACACATATAGGGAAAAGGTTATAATTATTCCAAGAGAAAAATGTCTATTTTAAAAAAAGGAGAGAAACCACAAATGTTTTTGGTTATAATGTGGATTTGTTTTAGTGTATATATTATATTTTATTCTTCATATTTTTGTTACACATGTTTCCAGTCTCATGACCTTCTTCAGGCAAATAAAAAGAATCAATTTTTAAAGGAATAAATTTTCCTTGTGTTCTTTTAATGTTTCAATATTCATTTTCTGTATTTGTAGTGAGCCTTGATCTCATTTCTGGAGTGTTGGCAAAAGTGAATTTCTGCCTAAGTGGTAATAAAATCATTAGGTTTTATCAAAAACATTTGTGGTTTCTCTTTTTTTAAAAATAAATATACACACACACACACACATATATATATATATATATATATATATATATATATATATATATATATATATATATAAATAATAGGGATGTATTTTATATTTACTAATCACTACTAATACTTAGTAATAAAAATCTGTCAGATTAATTAAATAAGTGGACATTGAAGTCAACACCCAGTGGTGACACTCTTTCATGCTTAAACTTAATTGTCAGGGCTGATTTTTAAACTTTTCTAAAGAAATTACCTGTGTATAATATTCTATTTTTTATTTTTTTTTTTTTTTTACATAAAAAACTGATCATAAAAATTCACACAATACTCAAGTATATACAATATTCATGATGAAAAAATTTCATAGTGAATGTATTCAAAACTGTAGAGTAAAAGTATATGTTTCAAAAAAAGGTCTGGCATCTGTTTCGTAATTGATAGTTGTCTAACTCAACTGGTCGTATTTTTAAAAGGGAGGAAAAAAAGAGGATCACATTTTCCTTTCAATCTGAGGGGAAAAAAACTGTTTCTTCATTGTCTAAACTGTGAAATCACATGTTTTTATTCTTTTGTAATTCAAAATTAAGTTACTTTTCTGATCCACTTTGCCTATATTTAAAAGAAATTGGACACACATTTTTTTCATTTGTTTGAAGGTGTGTTTTATGATTACATTAAGTTGTACATTATCTTATATTGGTCAATGTCATATCATTTAACAGTATTTCCATTATGTATATAATTATCTGATTTAATTCCACTAATTTTTCATTCAGTACTTAAGGATATTACAATTATCAGTAATACACTAAATTAGAATACAAAATGATGAAAGTATGTGTGTGTATATAGAGATGTCCTTTTTTATGCACGTGTGTGTGTGTGTATGTGTGTGTGTGTGTGAAAAGTTCTATTAAAAAAGCTGAGGGGAGAGAAAGTCCTATTAAAAATGTTGAAGAGATTTTTGTTTGTTGGTTTGATAGTTATCATATATGCATGTGTAAGTAAGCTTAGGGAATTTTGATGCTGTGTCGTGTTCAATGTGACATGTAGCTGGGGACTAGGCAAGAAAGAGACATGTTCTATCATTAAAGCATCCTGTAGGTAAAAAGAGAAAAAAGAAAATGAGATTTTGTACTCACTTTTCTCATATACTGCTTTTGTCAACACCATCTTTTCTTTTCTTTGGAGCTTTATTTTCATGCAGACCAGTATAAAAATATACAGTCTTACTGATTCCAGTTCTGAAAAATAAAAGGACAAAGTAAACAATCTTAGTGCTTATGCATACCTAGTGGAATAGTTGTATAGTTGAAAATAGAGATCCCAAGTAGTTCTTGATACTAATATTTTACCTGATAATAAATAATAAAGTAATTCTACCAAAATTTAACTTTGCTATGTAAGAGTTAACAGACTACTTCACTATTTACAAAGTTTTCGGTGTCCTGGGTATGATGATAAATTACAGCTGGCAGCAAGGCCTCTGATTAGGAGGTTTTGATAAGTGTGGAACCACCTCTTAATTGCTGTTGTTACCAAGTCCACCCTGACCTGGGGGTGTTAGCACTTGTTAGGGTCCCAGCTATGTCAGAATCCCTTTTGCACATTTATAAATCTACCATTTATCAGTGTATTGACTATTGTTACCATATCTGCTTTGGTGCTCCAGCTATATATCTTGAGATTTTTTATAAAATTCAATGATGGGTCTGTAAAGTTATCAGTACAAACCTGGCATCTCATCTTCAGTCATTATCCCATCAACATGACATGGCTTCTCTCCGTCTTTTCTATAAATATTTTCACGGCAGTTGTTCTAAATGAGCTCTCCTCCTTGGTACCTCAACTGCATGAATTTAAGTATACTACTATATTGGCAATTAGGTCTCATTGTTTTACAGTGGAAATTGATAGGTGTAACTGTAAGTCCTATTCTAATAGTTTCTTTTGTTGCACTTCTCACCTGTGGATCTTTCTTTCAGTTTCTTGCTGCTCTGCCATCTACAATCTTCAAAAATTTAAATGCAATGCCAATTGCCATCTCCATGTCTTGCTGAAACCTGTTCTTTTATTGTCATTTCCTCCTCACTAAAATTTTTTTCATTCACTTTGACTCCCAGTAACCCCTTACATCTTAGTGGCATTATCACCTTGCTTGGAGTGAAATAATTATTTTAAAAAAGCCTTAACCCATTCTATTTTAACATTTAATGCCAAATCAATTAATAACTAAACTTTTTTATTTGATTATGTTTTTACCTATTTTTTAAATTTTCATTTATATATAAACTCATGTTAACAATAATCCTGTTTTATTAAAAAAAATAATTATTTCTTTTTTATTTATTTGATATTGTTAGATTTTCCGATTTGATGGTGGTGAATACCCAAGTATAGCAGGAGAGTTCAACCAACTAAAGGAGGTAACTAATGAACAATGGGACATAATGGAAAAAATAATCAGGAAGGTGAAAGGATCTTAAAATATTTTTTTATTACAAGTAAATTAAAGTTTTTATATAAATCACAGGAAAAGTTACGTGTTCATAAAAAAATGTATACAACGAATATTTAAAAATCTAAAATCAAATATATTTTTGCATCTATTATCCATACAAATAAAATTTTTGTCAACAGTTAGATTTAAAACTGTGACCAGACCAACAAATTGATTCAGTTCAGTTTATTTTAAAAAAATTTTTTAAGACTGTTTTTGTTTTTCCAGCCTCAGTAACAAAATTTCCCAACCTCTAACTACCTACAGCTAAATCATATTGAAAACACCAGTTCTTGTTCAATCACTGAAGTTAAAATGTGCTGGCTTTAAATAACACACAAAGATTTAAGCTGTTAAAAAAAACAAAAAAAAAAAACAACAATTAATCCAAACTTTATCAAAAAATATATATATATATATATATATATATATATATATATATATATATATATATATATATATATATATATATGGTTAATTCCACCGTGATAAAAATCAATTCATTGTCCATTTCCATGATTTTTATTTACAAACTCATATAGAGAGAATTGAAAAAAAATACTAAAGAATTTTTTCAAAAATTTAATCCATTGTGGGTCAAAAATTAAACCAATGCAAAGATGATTTGTATGTTTAATGTTTGCTAAAATTAAGTCATTATTTTTAGAATATAAAAAAATTTAAAATTTTATAAATTTCTCTATTAAATTATTAACTTGCTGGTTGTCAACTAACTTTGATGAAAAAAATAAATGCAGTTTCAATTTTTTTATCATTCAATAAATTATATTTGACAAAGTATTTACATATAAAAACAGGTAAATTATTAATCAGTACCTTAACAAAGCATTATTAGTGTTAAAAGTAAAGAAAATTTTGTTACCAACAGTTTTTGTTTAAATTTATTGTAAGCTTTTCTCTGAGTTGTTGTTAACCATGATATTTCTTGGAATTGATACTGGAGTGGTTTCCCGTTGCTTTCTCCACGGTGGTTTATGGAGACACCACCTCTAATCTTTCTACTCCATACTGGACAGTATCAAGGCTCTATGCAAATGACAGCAAATCCTCATTATCATGAGAGACCTAAATGCCAAAGTAGGCAGGGAAAGGGCAGGGGATATAGCAGGAATATTCAGACTAGGAACCTGCAATAAACACAGAGAAAAATGAATTCAATGATGTACAGCCAATGACCAGGTAATAGCCAACACATGGTTCCAAGAACATCCAACAGATGACTATGGACTATGAGGAGCCCAGGAGGAGAAACTAAAAACCAAACTGATTATATAACCATCAAAAAAAGATTCAAGAATGCAATGATTCATTGCAAAACCTACCTAAGTGCCCTCTTATATGTAAACTAAGTGTGAAACTGTGGAAATTGAAGAAGCCTAATACATCACCCAAACTGCACTACAACAAACTCCTGAGCGACCCTAACCTAAAAGAAAAATATATGAACAATGTGAAAAGAAAAGAATATACGAGGTACACAATGGAAACTCAAAATGGGACACACTAAGAGACACTTTAGTGACATCAGCAAACGATATCATCCAAAAGGGTACAGGACAAAGATGAAAAAAAATGAATGAATGAATGACTGATGAGATTCTCAACATGATGGAAAGGAGACAGAAAACTCTGCCAAGATACAGAATGGAGTACAGAAAATTACACAATGAAATAAGGACCAAATGCAGGCAAGCTAAAGAAGAATGGCTAAACAAAAAATGTGCACAAATAGATAGATTGAGTACTACCAACAAAAGAGACATGCACAAACGAATAAGGCAACTGACAGGACAGAAGACATGCTTGTCAACACACTGCCTAAAATCAAAGAATGAAATGCTCGTATTAGAGAAGGAAAAAATTCTTCAACACTGGAGCGAGTATATTGGATAACTCTTCCACAATGAAAGGGAACAACCAGCAATACACGGAACTACCGATGGACCTAGAATTCTGAAAACTGAAGCAAAAGCTGCATTGGCCCAATTAAACAGAAACAAGGCAGCTGGGCCAGGCAGAATTGTAACAGAAATGCTGACAGCCTTAGATGATTTTGGCATAGACAAGATCACTGAAATAACAAATGAAATCTACAACAGTGGGGATATACCATAAGACCTCAGCAGATCTATCTTCATAGCTATGCCTTAGAAACCAGGTGCAAACAAATACGAACTCCACTGAACAATAAGCCTAATGAGCCATGTGACAAAACTCATCATCTGTATTCTGATGAATAGAGCATGCAACAGAATCAGGCCAAAGATAGGACAAGAACAGTGTGGGTTCATTAAAGACACCAGAACAAGGAACACAATATTCATGCTCAGGATGCTATCAGAAAGAGCAATACAGATGCAGAAGGACGTGTATTTATGTTTCATAGACTATGCAAGGGCCTTTGACAAAGTACACCGCAAGGATCTGATGGAACTGCTCAGCAACCTTGATATATTCGGGAAAGATAGAATAATCAAGAACCTATATTGGCAGCAATCAGCATGCATGCGCATAGGGAACAAGTTCAGTGAATGTACAAAAATAAAAAGGAGTGTAAGGCAAGGATGCATCTTCTCACCCAACCTGTTCAACCTATACAGTGAGTGAGGCAATTCTGAGAGCATTGGAAACCCTACCAGGATTTAGCATTGCCGACAATAATCTTAACAATATAAGATACACACCTGACACAGTACTGATAGCAGACACACAAAAGAAATTACAAAATCTCCTACAGAAGGTAGCAATGACGAGTGAAAAGAAGGGACTAAGCATAAACTACAAGACAGAATGCATAGTCATCAGTAAAAGGATAAACCCGAAATGTGATTTGCAGGTCAGGGTCATTAGAATCAAGCAGATATACAAGTTTAAATATCTGGGAAGCATTTTGACAGAGGACGGTAAGTGCAACACTGAGATCCATAGATGTATTGGGATGGCCAAGGACACATTCCAAAAGCTGAACAGAGTATTGCGAGATAGGAGATGTGATTCTACAGAAGGATGCTAAGGATATCATGGACCAAGTGTGTGAGCAACGATGAGGTCTTAGAGAGGATGTAAATAAGGGGGAGGCTTATATTTAACATCAGGAAGAGGCAGCTGAAGTTCCTAGGATACATAATGAGGAAAGAGGGCCTGGAGAATCTGATACTCATGGGTCAAATAGAGGAAAAGAGAGATAAGGGAAAATAATGCATGACATACCTGGCAGGATTAAGCAAGTGGATGACAGAATGTGGTCTTAGGGAGGAAGCAGAAGGAAAGAACTTGTTGAGAGCTGCAAGGGATAGAGGGAGGTGTAGAGCCATGATCGTCTACATCCTGAAAGGACATGGCACATAAAAAGAAAGAAAGAAAGGTACTTTTCTCTGTAACCAATTAAAATGGTCATTTGCGAATGGTATGCACATTTACACAATATTTCCAAACACTTTGGCTCTACTATCACAAGTTACCTTATTGATCACAGATCCATTAATTATTTGTGATTGCCTCAATATTTCCCAGTTCAACTGATGTGATTTGGAGAAGACTCTTAGAAAACTTTTCAAGCATTTTCTTTTCAACTATATAGAAATTAGGAGAAAAACAAAGAAATATCAAGAGAAATGTTTGTTATATATTTTGAGTATTTTTTTTTTTTAAACTTTCATATAGTTCTTAATATTATCAAAAAATAAATACAAAACAACCATATGAAAAACAAAATGTAATTCTAAATTTCTTAAATTTTTTATTATTAAGACACCTTTAGTTATTTTCATCACATATTTTTCACACCAGGGGAAAGGTTAGAAGCAGTGGCAAAGTATTCATGGATGCATTTTTTCAGGATAAATAATTTGAAAATTTGTGTAATAAGAAAAAAAATGATTTGAATAGATAATTTGTGTAATAAAGAAAATGAATTATTGATAATTTTTACTATTACTTCCTTGCACCCATGATCATTTTTTTTTAAATCTTCAATTTTGCCATTTCTTAAGACAAATTGTGAACAAGCAACATTAGTAGAGTTGTCTAACCAGAGAACACCCTTGCTTCTACTACCACACCAGTTATATGCTCAGGAAATGAAAATCTGCAAAAAGAGAGGGAAAGAATATTGAAGCATTAAGATTGAGTGAGTGAATAAGAAAAGTAAGAAAGAAAGTAATGAAGTTAGCTGCTGCTTTTTGATGATGATGAGAATAGATCATGGTGGTGATACATTCTAAAACAACCAAAAAGAAATAAAGAAGTGAATTAATTTACAAATAAATACATCATTATTTGTTGATTTTTATTATTTTCTCGGATTTCTCTCATAACCATTAAGTCATCACGGGCTGCATATATAAAGATCTTGTGCCAGAGACAAAAACTTAGTCTAGTAGAAACAGCAAGTAATGAGGCACAAAATTACAAAACAAGACAACCACTGCATAAAATTTTAAAAAGCAAAAACATTTATTTTACAATGTTACAAAAAAAGGTACAAATACAAAGGTTGCACAAAAATTTTCTTTTGTGCACCTATTACGGCAGGAGAACAGTTTTTTGAGGTTACGAAAAATGGGTTTCCATTAGATACAAGGAAAAAAGTGTTACAATTTTTAGGAAAAGACATGGATTTAAAGACAAAAAAGATTACACTCTTTAAAAATGGAAAAACTTATAGGAAGCCAAAAATTGCACAAGGCCGAAAATACAAGCGTGTACCCACCTCAGCTCTTAAGTGAATACTCAAACAGAATGTCTCAGCTTGAAGGGGTTTTGTCTTTTCACAGATTGTTTCCTTCAGTACCTTTTGAAGTATTTTGCTGTAAAGTTAACTTGAAAGTACTTTCAGTTTAAATTCTTTTCAGGAAGGAACAGAAAGGAATGTTGTATTCTGGGTCTTGAATCTGTCAGCTCTTTCTTTCTTCCTGTGTTGATTTATGACCCCCTCAGCTAGACAGCTCCTCTGTCTTTTGAGCA